TCGTGTTAAGTTTGACTTGATTTTATGTTTGGGGTTCCTAGACCTTAACTCGACATTCCTGAGTGTGTAAGCCTATTGAGTCCTCATTTTCTTACTACGAAAATTTGATAAAGAGCCTCAACTTCTCACTTATCATTCACTGGATTCATCAGTGTAATGCAAGTTGGGGTTCTACTTGTATGGTTTGTCCACCCGCTGTATTTTGGTATGTGTAGCGTATCTTTATTATCTGTCTTTTATTTGTATCTCTCTCCAGAATCTATAATGATAATCAAAGTATTCAATGCAGTAAGATTATTATCAGATAAGTATTGTTTATTTTTCAGTAATTTGTTTCTCTAATTTTTGTTATCATCCCAAAAATTATCGCTAGGGAAAAAAAACCATGTACTAAACTTTTATACATTTTAATACTTATGTGAGGTGTGGTCTTCTTGTATTCGATTACGTAGCTTAGACTAAATAAGGTTTCAGTTTGTCTAACGGAACTGAATTGTGCGATGCAACGAAGTGTGTTTTCCCACGTTACCTATATATTGAACCAATTCTGTTACGTGATTAGTAATGAAGTCTCAGATAGAATCCTTTATAAAAAGGACAGAAAATTGAGCGGCAAATGAACGAATGATCTCTTGTGAGTGATAAGAGCACAGAATGGTTCCTTATTGTTGGCATCGGTTGTTGCACTCGAGGTAATTCCTGGTCAACTGGCGATATATTTGTTCATTACTATCTGCTATCACTTCAACACTTGCTTATAAGATTAAGCTAATTTAATGCTGCAAGCGATCGTGGGAGCAACAACTTCTTAGCTTAGGTACAAATTCTATTTCACATTCATCGAACTAACTTGAATAGGTCGTTAGATTGCAGCGAGTATTTCTCAACAATGAATATCACCGTTGAATTAGGGGATCTAATCTGCTGCACCATATTTTGCAGACTACCATTAGATTCAATGCAAATTCCGGTTCTGTTATGTATTTTTGATTAATGGGAGCTTAGTACAATCTTGCGTTACGGAGCCTTTTAAATTTCTGTGTCGTCTCGAAATAAGAGTATTTTTTTTGTATTAAAAGCTACATCGAAAATTCAATAGCTGCAACCTAAATGTACTATGCTCGAATGAAGTACAATATTGAATAAAATCACTTGGATTTAGGTAGAACATATGTCGCTAGATTTGAAGCTTTCTCGAAAAATAGCAGTAGCTTGGGTTGGCAAGTTTCATCGTTGACCGCGCTGATGTTCTGGGAAAGACTGCATTTTCTATGTTATGTGTTAATGTGTGTTTGAAATTCCATTATAGATTAAGTGGTTGTGAAACTTTTTTATGCACTTTTGATGTACAACAATAAAACTAATATATGCCTTACAATTCATTTGCATTCGTTACCTATGCAGCGAGATTGAAAATCTTTGTGACATATGCAGGCTTTACAATCCGATTAAAAATAGCCTTTTTTTTTGCTGTAATGGATAAGCTAGTGATAAACGATTTTGCCAGTCGACCCTAAACGATCTATTGACAAGAGATTGCTGAATGCTTTCCTTTATTCTACTAATGTTATAAGAACCAAGTTTGCATCGGATAAGAAGTAGCTAATAAACAAGCGCGCGAAATGAAGCCTTGATAGCTTCGGCGTGCGACGCTTTAATTCGTCCGATGTGGAAAAATAAACAAGACAATTCCCGAGAACAAATATCTTTGAACAGAGATCACATTGTCCGGCACCGCTAACACCCCGTATGAAGTCTTAGTGACTTGATCCTTCACTTCACAAGTAATCAGTATAATAGTAAGGTCAGTAAACCTCATTTGATTCAATGACTTGTCATTCGTCATTGTATGTATGAACAACTGCTTCACAATCAGGTATCACACAATATGTCTATGAAGTCATCATTCAGGCTAAACGCACCTCAGCACATTCGCATCTCTGCTGTTTTATCAGTCGCGCAATGTAAATCAAAAGTAAAGCTAAGACACCACAAAAATGCGTCCATAAAACTTGATTTAATAAAACGTATGAAACACCGACGAGTGTCCCTATAACTCGCAACCACGCCTGGAACCTTAACATATGTATACACATAAACCCTCGCTATCTTTAAATACCCCTGAATCATGTACTGTCGCTTATGTAAGAATGTACATTCCGAGTCATGTGCAGCCAAGTACCTCTAAACGGTTACCGTATTCTAGGTTATTTATCGCGGTATTAGCTAATTTCTAATTCTTAATAGATGATATGAACCAAAAATATCGAATCTTACAAAATTATATGGAAAATCGAAAATATCTAAAGGAAATGCCCACCTTAAATTACCAACTGTTGAAACATTGAGCAACATATTTCAGGACCAATATCCTGATAGCAAATCGCAAGTATTAAAAAAAATTGGGAATTTTAACAAAAAAAGATGCAAGAAAAGCTTCTACAACTTGAAATCTCTCCGACAGGCTTGACATTGAGATGCTAAAAAACAATTGGTCAAGTAAAAGGTAGCGTAATTCTCAGAAGACCTGCCCCGAAGTACCTACAGAATTAAAACGAGCTTCAGTAAAATACGTTACGTGGGCCAAGTGTGAATTAAAAAATACGACGAGTCTTAAGAACTCTCAGAGCGGCACACCAAGCCAAGTTTACAGTACCGAGCTAATTTATTTCTCAATACATTCTTCACTGCTGGAAATGCCATTAATTCAGGTATGCATTTTGCAAATCTGTCGGGTTATCGTACGCTGAAGCTCAGTACGTTGAAAATGACAAAATTCTAGGGATGATAATAAAATTTTACGAGAAATTCGTTCAGGAAATGAAGTTGATAAACCAGTATTGAACTATGATCAAACTATATGCGGAATATATGGAAGGATTCGAACATTAACAAAACTAATAATTCTTCAGTGAACAAAAACAATAAGTCGAAAACAGAATATATTGGCGCAACGCCAACGCACGCAATAAGTGACCAAAATTGTAGTATTAAAATACAGCTAATTATTCTTGAATGATCAAAATTAACTTGTTAAGAGAATATAATGAGTGAAATCCATGAAATTAAAAAAATGTACCACCAACAATCTACATGTTGAAAAGTCGACAAAATAGACAGCTCCAAAAATGCATTGTAAAGTTCGCTATGAAATGCACATTACAATTGCCACAGTCAGACAAATAAGTGGACGCCACTAATGTCATATCGTGACGCAACAACTGAACGCCAATAAAATCACATCGTGATGACACAACTGTACAACATTACTGTCACAGTTTGATAACAGGACATCATGAAGGGAAACAATCTTCACCGTTCAAAAAATGGCGCAATTAACCTGCTCCTAACACTTCTTCCTTAACTCGTAATGTTCTTCAGACATGCGCGACATTCCAACTAATTGTGATGAAAATCAAAGTAAACATTTATACCTATGTAAATAACGAATTAAAAGAGTATTCCTGTGATTTACCATAACCGACGTCAGATATTAAAATATCTTAAGGGCAATTTTTCACTAATAATATCATTAGTGACATTGTATACTAATATTATCAATAATATCAAAAGACAGGATGGAAGTTGTTTGCAATTTGAATCCTAAGCTCGTAAGGCTCGGCGAGATGAGCAGAACGAGAGATCTTCACAATGACATTCTGTTCAGAGTCAAAAATTGACTATATTTCATAGCAATGGAGTAACCTGGGCGCTTGAATTTTCATGAAATTGCATTTGCTAAAAAAAGGTTATTACTAATTAAAATAGCAAGAATAGGTATATAAAAATGATTTGGTTTTATAAAAAACAACGACATAACGATGTAAAGTATGTTCAATTGCAATTGCTAAGAAAGGCTATTACTAATTAGAATGGCAAGAATATATTAAAATGAATTGGATTATAAAAAAAAAACGACAACGATGTAAAGTATGTTGACTCGCATAACATTTGATCGCTTGAATTCAATAAAATACCATACAGGCTCTTTGGTTCACGGAAATAAATTCTGTCAAAAATGCCATTTAAGTTTCAGTGCCCATCCGCTTAGCATTGACCTTGCTTGCTTTGCAACCTGCATGAAATTATCTATGAACGAACATGATTCTCGGATGGAATACAATAAAATCCTTAGAACAGTACCAATGAGTTATTCTACAAAAGCTTCCAGACTCATAAATTGAATTTAAGCTTCACTAGGAACCTAATAATTTACAATTTAATGCAAGAATTAAATACCTAATACTCGAATTCTCTTCATTCGATAGGTCAACCACCGGCTTCAACAGATGCGCTTCTTCTCATTCAGGTCGTCAAAAATTGAGGCTTACAACCGCGCTGGAGGAGGCAGGTCTTCCCGCGTCAGTAGGTCGAAAGTTTCGCTGAGCAGACGACGACATGGGATCACACCGCCCCCTTCTGGGCTCTTCTGACACCGCAGAGCACCTAGCTTGCTCAGCGCTCGCACCGAGTTCTTGATGGCATCTAACGAGAGAGCAGAGAACAGGGTAGAGGATGACCGAGACTCTCCTGAATGATCTTTTCCGTCGGTTTCAGTGAAGTGCTCTAATATTGCCGTTCGTATTGCTGCTACCAAGGATGGTTCGTCAGACCATTCTTTCCTGAGCGCTACTGTGATGGCAGTGCGATACGTGAGCACCAAAGGCTTCAAGCAAGACCAATAAAAGGAAGATAAAGTCGGCGACGAGGTGTGTTGAACAGTGAGAACACCGTCCGCGCTTTGGCCACATCCACTCTTGACTAATCTCGCGACAGCCTCGTCGAAGCTCTGTTTCTTGTCAGCCGGTGGGATGAATTCGAAAGAGAATAACTGCAATAGTTTAGAGTAGCGCTCCAGAGCAACATCAAAATTTGCGGAGTAGGATGAGGAGGCCGAAGAGCCATAACACGAAACAGCCAAGCATAGAAGAGAGGGCGGCAACAGCACATGGATACTTTGATTGGCATAATGTTGCAGCATCAAGTGCAACACAAAGCGTTTCTTCTGAGATTCGTCGAGATTTGTTCTCTTACTTGCCGCAGATGCCAGGAACGGAGAGAAGAACACAGCATCACCTTGGAGTGACACGAGGTTAGAGTGCACCTGAAACGCGTACCTCAGACACGCGTCAAGTTCTCCAGCATCCCTAAATCCTCCAAGCATGAGAGTGCAACAAGAACCCTGCGTGTTGTCTGCCACTGACGCGAGCATCTCAGATACAGTACACAGCAGCTCAGAGTACGACACTGTCGTGCTTCCTTCTTGTAACCTCATGAGGAGGAAGTGAGCCGCGAAGCTGAAGGAAGAAACGGCAGCAAGACGCATCTGGTCGCGAGCTAAGCGAAGAGCTAAGCAGTCAATCTCGCTCACTTGTGCGGCTGAAAGAGCGGAATGGAAGTCTACGATACCAGGACCAAACGAAGCCTTGGTGGCAGCCTTCACAGACACAGGTTGGCCAATGTGGATGAACACGTTGCCGTACTTTTCCTTCAGTATACGTTTAGCTTTAAAAAGCCCTGAAGTTGATTCTTTGGGCTTAGGAATGCCGAGGAGCTCCCAAGCGTAGAGTTCCTCCTCCAGCGTGCGGTCGTAGGAGATGTTGATGGGGACAAGCAGGACGTCCGACACGTCTTTCAGCCACGCGTACTGACACACACAACCCAAGAGACCCAACTTTGGCCGTAGGGTTTTGGCAGTCCTACTTCTCGTGCCTTCCAAGAAGAACTCCATGGGCGCCGACTCTTGGCACACAAGCATCTTGACATATTCTTGGAACACGGCCCAGTAAAGAACGTCGTCAACAAACGAACGTTTAATGTAAAAAGCACCAGCTTCCCTAAGTAGCTGGCCTATGTAGGCCATGTGGTAGAAGTCCATGCCTGCCGCGATTACTGGAAAAGGTAAGTTGTAATGGAAGCTCACGTAGGATACTAGAATAAAATCAGCATACGACCGATGAGTAGGTAGCAGCACAACAGGGCATGTCTTTATAGCTTTCCGTAGTAATTCTATTCCAGGCCTGTGAACAACAATCTTGTTGTACATGGCTTTCAGCATTTTTGCTAGGAAAAAAGCAAATTTCCGGATTGCAGAAATATCTTGTTGGTGTGCCATCACTTTCAAGATTTCAACTGACTCTTCTTTTACTTCCTTTAATGAAACATTCCGATGTTTGGCAACCTCCTCCATGATATTTTGCAGGCCTTCTGAAGCCATAATATTAGTCATGGCTTGCTCTGGAGACACGTGTTTACTGCCTGCAAAGCTCCCACTCGATTGCCATTCTTGTGCTGCCCATCGCAAGTCGCTCTGACCACGTCTGGGCTCCACAATATCTTCATAGCCTGGGCTGACATCTCCATCTGCAGTCAGAATTGCACCCAGAGATGGATTGTTCATCTTAATGCACTTTAAACAGTAAAGGAAATATCAAGAAGAGCAAAACCTCACTGACTCTTCATGCAAGCTTAGTGGCAAATTACTGAGTCATAAAACTAAAACTTGAAGCACACTTCTTTGGTAGGTGATAATTTATTTCTATTTCTTAAAAAGTTTCATAATAATAAAATAACAAACTTTCTTTATAAAACCAGTTCTATAAACTTAAAAATGAAATACAGTGTTACTTGGCTATCAGGAATGTCTCTAATTTCTACTATTAATTTCCAAAGATAAATATTTCACAAGAGCTTCATCACAGAAGACTAGAATCAAATCACTAAAAGCTAAAATAGTGGTCTTCATTCAATAAAAATGTTCCAAAAATGATTTTAATGAATTGTCTTAGTTCAATTTGTAGAGCTGGTTATGAGTACAGTTAATCAAGTCAGTAGATTGGAGACATTTGTCTACACAACAAATCTGAAAAAATAGGATTTGGTTAACATATTAATTATTGAAAATATTTTTCAGAGGAGTCATCATAAAATGACCAAAAAGGATTATTTTGCATTTAATTTCTTACAATTAAGAACCTCAAAAACCATAAATGTGAAGCTATTAACTTTCATATACCTATATATAAACAGCACTTCAAGGCTTCAATCTTAAATTTCTCATCACTGGGAAATCCTCAATAATATACCTACATACCTGCCTACATTGGGCTCAAGAATCTGATCTTTAAACAGTAGGTAATGGTAAAACTACAGTATGCCAAGTGGCTTCAGAGCCAAAATCTTTTAGTAGAAAGGCACACCGACACAGTATTCCTGTCCAGAGCAACTGCAGAAAATATTTACTTTCTGAGAGTATATATTTTCTCCTTCAGATAGTAGTACTATATCTTGCTCCGAGATGTTCAACATCAATGGCATAGGAATTGCCTGCCACTCAGCGGATATATACCTAGTACTAACTTAACCTGCCACCTGGTCACTTGACTTACCTACCCACTTAACTTGATCACTAAAAACTATATACAAGTAATACAGGTCAGAAACTCAGAATTAATATTTGTAGGGTTTGATTGCTATATAATAACTAAGATTTTTTTTATCCATTGTATTTGTTAGGAAAAAGAGAATTCATTTTGAAGACTGGTGAAATATATACCATTGTGCATTGTTAGTGGCATTGGCATTTGCAACATTCCAGGCATTACTTACATTTAACATTCTAGCAGCAACATATTCAGAGCTACAAGAGTCCCACTATATGAATTACTATTTCTTATCTTGTTAGCAATAAAATTGCATAATTAGACATAATGAGTACACTATAAGACACAATGGCAAGCAAAGAGATTTTTAGACTCAGTCCTGTTCAAATTGGCTGATCTAGTTCAAAATTTTGTTTACTATCCTATGGGATTAAATGCTCAAGAGTATGGCTCAGGGAAGGGTAAGGTAATGAAAAAAAAACTCTCCTGCTTGCCTCACTGAAAGTTGAAATTTGGTAGAAGCCACCCATGAAGGACAAAAATGACTGTGAATCTGGCCAATTACATCAGTTTCTTTGGCTTTTCATAATTACCATACTCTTGTGGAAAAAAACTGCCTATTATTAGTGCCTAATATTCCAGATTCTTCTGTGACAACTTGTGCATCACATAAAGTTTATTTGACAGTACGTAGCTTTATTTCCATACAGGGCTGCAAAAGTCTTATTTTTCTGAAATATTGTGGCTCTAACATCATATAATTTCAGTAGGTACCTATGAAATCTCATGGCTCAAACTTCATAAATGTTTGTTTGATTGAAAAAAAATCAAGGCTCGCACTTTTCAAACATGTCATTTCATAAAATTTTCCCCTTCTGCAATCTGCATTTGTGCATTACTTTAATGTTCCCACCAAAATATCATGCAGAATGTTATTCTAATGTAAACAAGTCAACCTAAATGTTTTGTTGAAGATTGCGCATAGTTGCAGTCACATCAGACTGCATTAACATGCCTCGTAAATGGCTTTTCATGGCCAAGATAAGGAATTCAAGGCTCAAAGAAACGGAATGATGGCTGGCAAATCTATAAAACTATGGCTCAAAAAATTCAGTCGTGGCTCGCCAAGTAGATATATTCCATGTCCGTTTCCATCTTTGATCTGAAATGGAACTATTTAAATTCCTAACTTGGGACTTGGGTCAGTCAGAAGTCCTGTCTCCCAGACTCCCTGTACGCTCATGAAGGTGAAGGGCACCTGAAGGACGGTGATCAGGACATATCATAAAATTGTCCACTTCTGCAATCTGCATTTGTGCATTACTTTAATGTTCCCACCAAAATATCACGCAGAATGTTATTCTAATGTAAACAAGTCAACCTAAATGTTTTGTTGAAGATTGCGCATAGTTGCAGTCACATCAGACTGCATTAACATGCCTCATAAATGGCTTTTCATTGCCAAGATAAGGAATTCAAGGCTCAAAGAAATGGAATGATGGCTGGTAAATCTATAAAACTATGGCTCAAAAAATTCAGTCGTGGCTCGCCAAGTAGATACGTATATTCCATGCCCGTTTCCATCTTTGATCTGAAATGTAATTATTTAAATTCCTAACTTGGGACTTGGATCAGTCAGAAGTCCTGTCTCCCAGCATAGTGACAAACCAGAGATTTTTTAAAATCAGTTCATTTTTAATCTCCTCATTTACTCAAGATTTAAACCAATTTCTTATGTATGTCGTATGATAATGCTGGTATCCATGATACTTTGCTTGTCTACTTATAGGACTCAAAATTGAACTTGAGGGAGAGTCTAAAAAACTCTCTGCTTTGCCACTATGTCTCCCAGACTCCCTGTACACTCATGAAGGTGAAGGGCACCTGAAGGACGGTGATCAGGACTGGGAGCCATTCAAAAGGATCTATATGTTTATAACTATAGAATAGAAGTGTTGGCATTGAAGAAATAGGCCTATGCCCCATGGCCTGTTGCCAATTCTTGAACTTTTCATGACTTGATTCACATTCACAAGGGATCCGGCCTTTGGAACCAGATCTTTCCATAACTGACAATTGATTGAGATAGCTGCTGCCCTGCTGGACTTATTTCCTGCAAAATTACTGGTCCATAATTTGCTAGGCATTCCAAGACAAGACTTAACATATGCTCCTGCATATGTGCATAGCTTAGTCCAGTCTGCCTTTGAAGATGTTCATACTTGGGAGTGTCAACGATGCTATCAGGGTCCAGGGACAGGCCATGGTCAGGAAGATGTGCCAGGTGCGCGGGAATTTATTTTGTCATTTTAACGACCTGCGCGGTGCGCCGTACTACGTTGTGAGGGAATGGCTTTTTGTTCCATGTATTTTGTGTTGCCATTCCTTCTCTCATGCATTTCTCCCTAATCCCTTGTGTCTCTTCTCGTTCCAGATCACACTTATTCCTTCTATGTGTGTACGTGCAGGTACAGATCACATTTATAGATCACGTGTATTGACCATTGATTACTAAAGTAGCCTATGCACTGAGGGTTCTCTGGATTGTGGCAGGTTTGGGTTATCCTAGCACGTTTTACTGGTTACTGGATTGATGTGTGACAAGTGCTCCGAGGTTACTGATTGGAGGGCTGTGACCCTAGTGCCAGTGTTACTCCAGTGCTACTCCGTGCTATCCACTGTTACTCAGTACCGCCCAGTGATACCCAGTATTACCCAGTGCCACCTTGTATTACCCAGTGCTATTCAGCCGCCCAGTGCTAGTCAGTGATACTCAGGACTACACAGTACAACCTGTATTATTCAGTGATCCAGTGCAANTGAGTGGGTAACGTAAGTTACGTAACCCCCATGTTAGTAAATAAAGGTGAGTGGGTAACGTAAGTTACGTAACCCCCATGTTAGTAAGTCGCGAAAAAAATCGGTTTTCCGATGCCGACCGCCAAAAATGGGTTTCAGATTCGTAATCTACACCCCAAAAAACATATAATTAAAAAAAAAACACCCTTTTTTTTGGATGTAGTTAATCTGCAATAATACCAGATAATCAATTTTCATTACATTGCGCCAACTATGCACAGCAATAGCTTTAAAAAAAGTGAAAATACGCGGGAAAATTCACCGAAAACATACATCATCCTGAGTGTGGGGGACAGTGAGGCTATTCAACATAATGATGACTCAAAGCAAGAAGAAATGTTGTCACATGACACATAGATGTGTTCCAATGCTGTTTTTTCAATTTATAGCTGTGGGCCTGTGGCGGCCACAGGCCACACTGGCACACTCACTGAGTGAGTGTGGCCCCTGGTGTTGGTTCTTGTTTCAAATTATTTTAATTCTTCTGGCTCTGGGACCTTGTATAAGCCATGAGTATACTTGTATGATTCAATGAGGTCCTTAGGCTTATGGGCATGCTTCAGTATGGACTATGGAGTAGTACCAGAGTCCAGACTCTACCAGCAGAACAGTACTGCTTGTGATAGGCTCTAGCCGGCAGCCGCCAATCCTAGAAATTAGAATCACACCATAAGCAATAAGCATAAGTCACCAGTAATGTGCTACAAAGTACAATTATTTTTATGCTTAATGCTTATCGTCTGTGGAATCATAAACCAATCAGTCATCTATCCAGAACACCTTCTTATGCGCCACTGAAGCGACTGTCAGTCACACCGTGTCACCGCACCGACTTTAGTGCCGTGACCGGCGTGACGGTGACGCAGCACAGCTGATGCAACTTCATGCATTAATCGGGTAGCAATGACTAGTAAAAATCATACAATGAAACAGTATAATTCAATGTGGCTATTTGTCAAACTGATTGATTATTGTCATTTCTCGGGCAATTTTGTAGCAACATTATATCAGGAAAAGACAGAATGGCATCGGTTCTCTAACCGATAAACAACATCAACCCAAATATTATTAGTATTACTTCCAATAACAACTCCGTCATCCGCACTGTCGGTTATCACAATAGCGAATGAAATTTATTTTTTCCGTCTCCTAAAATCAATTAAATTTTAGGCGCAGCAACAGTGTGATACAAAGGTGAAAACGAGGGACCGATAATTTCGCCATTGGTCCCTTTTAGTGACAATTACCAGTAAAAATTTTGGCACAAACTCTATGTCATATAACTTAAAAAATTAGTGATGAAACGAACGATATGAGGGACACTTATTAGAATAAAAACCTGAATTTTGAAATAAAATTTCCAATATTTGAAAGAATAATATTATGTTTAAGCATTCATTTGTGTCTTCAGTGCGGGAAAGTATCAGGAAATAGAATTCGGTTCCACATGCGAGAAATTTGCGCATTCCTTGTCATCAGCAAGTCCATCAAAATTTATATCCCTGGAAACACTTTTGATATCGACGAAACTGGTGCATATGGTTTTACCGTCAAATAATTGTTATTGTCTTAACGTCATTTTGTTTCATGCCTTCAATCAAACATCTTTATTTTATCGCTCAC